TCTCTAGCCATTCGTTTGTTGATGGGCACTTAGGTTGTTTCCAACTCCTTGCTATTGTGAACAAAGCCACAATAAACATGGGTGTGCATATATCTCCTTAGATGTCAGTTATGGTCTCTTTGGGGTATATTTTCTGTAATGGAATTACTGGGTCAAATGGTATCTCTATTTGCAACTTTTTGAGAAAGCACCATACAGCTTTACAATTTATTTTCTATTTTGCCTTATTCCAATTAAATCAAGAAATATTTTCTCCCATGGTAGTCTAATTGTCATATTTTTTCATAATATTGATTGTGGCTAGTTGAACAAAGTTACTCTCTCTGTATAAATAATAATAGCCATGATTTTTATTAGCACAAGCATTTAATTATAATAATTATAGGCAGATTTCTGTTAGTGTAACTTTCAACACTGAATTAAGCACAGAACAAAATGATTATTTTTTAAAAAGTAACATGGAAAATGACTCTGAAAGTTGAAACGTAATAATTTTAAAAAATATTTCTAAAACATGCTATACAAAGATGAAATTCTTTTATAAAAGTTTGATGTTACATTTATTCTCATAAATATTATAAATGTTTATAGTAACCAGTTTCTAGTTCCACAGTTAGCCTTAGAAACATAAAGATCCAAGATAAAAAATAATTTTCTGTTATTTCAATCTCTCTAAATAGGACACCATACTTGCAGAACTTCTGCAAATTCATAAAGAACACATTGTAGGATACCATGAACATGATTCTCTTTTGGATCACAAAGAAGAAGAAGAATTGACTGAAGAAGAACGAAAAGCAGCTTGGGCTGAGTATGAAGCAGAGAAGAAGGTAGTTAATTAAAAATACTTTTAAGACTTTGGTTTTGTATTAAAACAAAAAATAACATTGAGGAAGAAAAAAATTGGATTCTTCAGGAATGGCCCCAAAATATTATAATCCTTACAAACTTTGCCTTCCTTTGATGGTAGAGTAGGAAGAAAGAGAAAAAAACAATTTCTGCTTAAATTGTAATAACTCCTTTTTATCATTCATTGGATTAAGACATGGCATAATTAGCATGATTAGTACTCATGACCCTCGTAATCACAAACATACAGGAGATTTTTGGAGGTAGGAATGTGTACTAAAAAATCTATAATTTTATTGCATTAAAAGAATGCACTCCAATATTAGATATTAATAGTCTTAACGGGAACTTTATAGAATAATGTCTGTTTTAATTACCAATTCATTTGACCAAAATATGACTAGACATAGGAAATATAAACTTTTTAAACTCCTGAACTTTAGAAGTTTCATCATAATTCTCTGAGTTGCCCCAATCTATGCAAATTATAAGGAAAAGAGTAAACCATTAGGAGTAAGATTTTGTGTGTGTTAAAATCTTGGAGGCCGTCATTTACGGTAACAAGTGCTTTGTATGTAATCATTTATTAAGCTCTTGCATAAATCCTATAAAAGATGTGCTATTGGTTTTATAAAAAAAAAATCTTGGAGGCCACAAAAACGTTTTGTTTGCATGTAAAAGAGTGTTAGAGTGTAGATTCTTTTCTAAATTAGTATGGATGTAGAATTTTCAGTTTTAAAACACAATGTGAAAATTACATGATTTTTTTGTTTTTAGGGACTGACCATGCGTTTCAATATGACAACTGGGACCAATTTACCGCCTGTCAGTTTCAACTCTCAGACTCCTTATATTCCTTTCAATTTGGGAGCCCTGTCTGCAATGAGTAATCAACAGCTGGAAGTAAGTTTGAAGTACAAAAGTGTTTTAACATGAATTAAAAGCAGTTTTAGGTTCCCTGTTGTTGAGGGTTTCATATGCAGGCATATCACAGTCTCCAAAAAAGATTGCTTCTGTGTAGACTAAGAAACTTTACTTGACATTTTTTTAATTAATGTGGAAATACATAGTTTGTGCATAGCACAAAGGAAGTAGGCCTTGAATTAATGTAATGAAGTTTGATTATTCTAATTAAGAAACAGTAGGATAGTTGACTAGGTATAAAATACTTTGACAAAACAGATCACTTGCTTAATGTTTGGAATAAGGATAAATATATCACTTCATATTCTAATGTATATATTCCATTAAGTTACAGTGCTCAATGCAACTAAGTGAGCAGTTTAAAACTAGAGTAATTTATGGATTAAATAAGCAAGATTAGGTTTTATTGTACCAACAATTTATTGATTCCATTTCTCATTTTCTTTTATCAATTCATTTGTTTATCAATTCATTTAAATTATTAAGTTATTGGTACAGTAAAACTCAAAATTTTATCTTCCTAACAAGACCTCTTTTGACATTGATGATTTACTGATGCTGAATTTTGTTGTTCTTTTGAATTATTTCAGGGAGCCTTGGTGTCCTAGTGTGTAAAGATTGTGCTGTAAACCTCTAGGCAGTTTGAATTCACCAACTGCTCCATAGGAGAAATATGAGCATTCTCCTTCAGTGTGATTTCTAGCCTCTGAAAACTCACTGGAGGGTCAGCTATGAGTCAGTTCATACTCAACAACAATGAGTTAGTTAGTTTGAATTATTTACAGAGTTTTAAAATCAAGTACTATAAATTGAAAAGAAGAAAGATCCCTGAACTATTTTATCACTATGCTGTTTTATTTATGCCCCATATAGCTTATTATATTTATTTTTCGTTTTACAGTTTTATTTATTTGTTTCTTTTTCATGGTTGTTGTTGTTAGGTCTTTGCACTGGGCTAAGGCCAAAGACTCAAGGAAGGGACCAGAGAAAGAAAGCAAGCTGAAGCAGCTTTATTAAGGGGGCTCCTGGGCGGGATTCCTTGGTCTAGAGAGAGACACAGACCAGAGGAAAACTGCCCCATATAGCTTATGTTATATATTCTTCTAGGACCTTATTAATCAAGGAAGAGAAAAAGTTGTAGAGGCAACAAACAGTGTAACAGCAGTGAGAATTCAGCCTCTTGAAGATATTATTTCAGCTGTGGTAAGTTAATTAATTGGCTATTGTCTTACTCGAACCTCCGATTTGTGATCTTTGCTGGCTTCACTATTTCTGCGATGAAAGCAGCATAATTCTTATTACTTGATTTGTAAGTAAAATACTAATAAATTGGATATTGGTATACAAGAGAAATGAGTAATTGATAAGAATGAGGAATCTGTTCATCATAGATATGTACATGGTTTGAATAAACATTATTTATTTATAAGCTACATAAAGGAAATTCAAATCATTATTTTAGTCCAAAAATAGCCAATTCATATGTAACAGTACATAATCTAGTGCATTACTTTAAAATTACTATATTCTTTTAAGAAAAGAATAAAGGGGGGCATTTAAATCCTGGATACCTTTTAAGTACCTTAATTATTTTCTACAATTTCACTTCAAAAAGGAGTAAACAGAAAATTTTTCTTTTAGTGGAAAGAAAACATGAATCTTTCAGAGGCCCAAGTTCAGGCTTTGGCATTAAGTAGACAAGCCAGTCAGGAGCTTGATGTGAAACGAAGAGAAGCAATCTACAATGACGTATTGACTAAACAACAGATGGTAAGAAATCTGACCATACCTAGGTTATATTTCATTTTCTTTCATTTGTAATATGTGTACTTGTGTCAATAAGCAGCCCTTCTCTGGGTGGATGATCATTGGTTATTCCTTGAAGAAATTTTGTTAAGAAACCTAATAATTTCAAATAAAGGTAGTTATTTTGTCTGTAAAGGATTAACTTTCCAAATGGGTTTCCTTGATGCTTTTTCTTTTGGTGGTTTATTGTGATTTGAGCAAAAGTTTACCAAGCATATTAGTTTTTCATTCAATTCAAACAGTTAACATTTTGTTTTATAAAATATAATACCCGCCTCTGTCTGACAATCTACTTAATCTATATTGCCTTTCCACTTACCCATCCTTTTTTTAATTGTTACTCATATACATTGTGTTTTGTTCATTTACATTGTATTTTATAGTCATTCATGTATATTGTGTTTATATAATTAATTACCATTCATCTATGCCTTTTATCACCTCATCTCTTCAAATCCTCATCACATCTTTCCCGTTCCTTTGCTGCAACCCCCAATCTGTCCACTAACTTCTGCTATCTTGTGATTTCCCCCTCCTTTTTTTTCTACGCTTCTATTTCCCCTTCCCTTTTTCAACATTTATACATACCTTGCTCAGTTACCTCCTATTTTCATAATAGTGGTCTTATACACTATTTGTGCTTTTTTGACTGAGTTATTTCACAATATAATAGTCTCTAGATTCTCCCATGTTGTGTCATATTTTATGAATTTGTCATTATTCTTTAGTGCTGCATAGTATTCTGTTGTGTGACTGTAGCACAGTTTCTTTATCCATTTGTTTGTTGATGGACATTTGGGTTGTTTCACATTATGTGTGCACTAAAAACCATTTTCAATATGATGAAAATAAAGCCCACAGGCTTGGAAAAAACACTTGGCAACAACATTTCGGACAAGGGTCTCATAACTAAAATATTACTGGACCTTCACAAAAAAAAAAAAAGACTGATAACCCAATTACAAAACGGGTAAGAGGCATGAAAAGACTTTTCACAGAAAGGACATTTCAAATGTCCAGATAAAACATGAGGAAATGTTCAAAATTGGCAATCAGAGATGTAAATCAATTAAATTTCACATAGCAGCAGCAGCAGCAAAGTTCATCTGGACAGAGGCGGGAAAATGTTGGTGAAGCTATAGAGAGATTGGAACTTTTTTGATTGATTTATTTCACTTAGCATATTGTACTCCATAGTCATCTATGTTATGCAGTGTTTCTCGTGATTTTTTTCAAATGTATTGTGGTACTCCATTTATTTATGTTATGGTTCTCCATAGTTTCTTTACCCATTCATCCATTTATTGACACTTGGCTTAGTTCCTTCTCTTTACTACTTTAAGTAAGGTTGCAGTGAACATGAGTAAACATGTATCTATGTGCACCACGGCTCTCACTCTCATGTCTTTAGCATATACACCTAGTGATGGGGTTGCTAGATCAACTGTGATTTCTGTTTTTGTTTGTTTTTGTTGTTGTGTGCTGACGAATCGGAGCTGACTGGCACAGGAGGAGATTGCCCTCCTTCTCCAGCGGAGCATCTGGTAGATTTGAACTATGCATGCGCCTTCAGGATTGCAGAGCAGCTTCTTGCCAGTAGGCCACCATAGCTCCCTTCTATATATATATATATATATTTATTTTTTTTAAGAAGTTCTAGACTGTTTTCCACCATGGTTGTGCCATTTTATATTGCCATCTGCAGTGTGTATGAGTGTTTCATTCTCTTTACACTCTCACCAATTTGTGTGTATTGTCTTGTTAAATTTTGCTGCTGCTGTTCAGTTTTGCTCCTTGTTTTGAGTTGCTTCTTTCTAATACCTGATGAGTAGTCTTGCATTTCTTCATGTGTTTGTTGGCCATTTGAATGTCTTCTTTGGTGAAGTGAATTTTCCTTTATGTCTTCCCATTTTGTACATGGGTTATTTTTCTTTTTTCTGGTTGACATGTTTTGGAGTTTTTAATAAATTTTAAAGATTAATCTTTTGTCCAGTATGTCATTACCAAATATTTTTCCCAGTCTGTAGGTTTTCTTTTTACTCTTTTATACAAATCTTCTGATGTACATAGGGATTTAATTTTTAGCAGGTCTCATTTATCTAGTTTATCCTCTGTTGTACATTCTTTGTTATGTTGTTGTTGCTATGTGCCATCAAGTCACCTGCGACTCATAGCTACCCTATGTCGAGAAATAAGGACAGTAAACTCTCACACAATATACAGCCTCTTAAAAATCTGCTTCAGGTCAGCTTTGATTCAGTTCAGAGTCCCATGGCAGTGAGTAAGTGAGGTATTGCAAATAGCATCATTTTCCTTATTTCCTTTTCCAAGTTCTCTTTCTTACTGTGGAGGAATTCATTGATTTTTTTTTTAATATGTTGATCTTTGACCCTGCCACTTTCCTGAATAGTTCTACTCAATCAGTGCTCTCCAGTTGGTTCTGACTGATAGCAACCCCTCCATCAAGTTGCCAAAGTTGTAAATCTTAAGAAGAGACTGCTCATCTTTTACACACAGAGCCACTAGTGGATTCAAGCAGACAGAGATATGCAACTTTTGGGTTAGCAGCACAACTGGCTACAAACTACACTGTTAGACTTCCTTAAATTATTTAACTAGATCTGTTTTTTGGGGTTTGGTTTTTTTTTTGTTGTTGTTGTTGAGTCTTAAGGATTTTCTATATATAAAATCATACCTTCAGCAAATCTCTAGTTTTAATTCCTCTGTCAATTTACGTTATTTGCTTTTGTTGTTTCACTGCTCTAGCTATATGGTATTCCAGTGCACTATTAAATAGCAGAGGTGATGAATAGAAATTTTATCTAGTTCCTGTTCACAAGGATAATGCATTCAGTCTCTCCCTATCAGGCGCTGACTTTGTATATGTGTTCTTAATTATGTTGTGAAATTTGCCTTTTGTTCCTATTTTGCTGACTGCTTTTAGCAGGAAGGTAAAATTTGTCTAATGCCTTTTCTGCATCAATTGGGATGATTACAGGATTCTTTTCCTTTGTTTTATTCATGTGATAGATTCTACTAATTTTCTCTTGTGTTGAACCATCCTTCCATACCTGGTGTGAATCCTACTTGATCCTTGATGTATGTTTTTTAAAAAATATGTTATATTGAATTCTTTGGCTAGGATTTTGTTGAGAATTTTGGAATGTACATTTATGAAGGATACTGGCCTGTAGAAGTCGTTGTTTTTTAATGGTGACTTTCTCTGACTTTGATATCGGGTTTATACTTGTTTCATAGAGTGAATTAATTCAAAGGTATTCTGAATTCTGTTGTTGGTTTCATCTCTTCTCAGAATATTTGGTAGAATATTTCTTGATGTTTTTATAAATCTTTTTCGTACTTGATTTTTGTTTTTACTAGCTTTGGATATCTCAGTAGGAACCTTTGCCAGTCTTTTACCACATTAATCATTTTAAATAACTTACAATTTATTTATTCATTTAGATAGATAGTTTATTTGAGTGTAATGTCAAACAGTGGATGATATAGGTCACAGGTTTTGACTAAATTATTGGATTTTTAAAAATAGTTATCATATTCCAAGATTTTTGCTCTTCTGTTCTAGCACTGTCCTACGTCAGCCATCTAAAATTGAAAAATTTTAACTTTTAGCACAAAGTAATTTTTATGCCATTACTTAGAAAACACTACAAAATTAATGGGGTTTTAAGTTATCTGAGGAAATAGGAAATATTACCAATGTCTGCTTCTTTGTTGTCATATGAAATACTCAAAACAATGGCAAAGGAATCTTGGTTCAAAGTGCTGTAAGTAGTACTTGAGATTAATCCTGTATAGGAATGGTTACTATGGCGACCGACCCGCCTGCTGCTTGTAATTAAGCAATGGCTTTAATAGTTAAGCAATTAAGAAAATTTCGTCCTAAATCTTGTTACTTAGGGCAAGGTTGTTTATGGAGTTACTACGAGTCATAACCAACTCGAAGACACCTAACAAAAACAATAACTACTTTTTGCAGTAATGATCCCATGGGTACCATCAAATTGCAAATGGTGATAACAGTAATGGCTATGACACTCCTTAACAAATTGATTTTAACTCAAAGTGAGATTGCTTGTTTCAGAAAAATAATGTAGCAACTATTTTCCTCTTTGTAGTTAATCAGTTGTGTTCAGCGGATACTTATGAACAGAAGACTCCAGCAACAGTATAATCAGCAGCAACAGCAACAAATGACTTACCAACAAGCAACACTTGGCCACCTCATGATGCCAAAGCCTCCAAATTTAATCATGAATCCTTCTAACTACCAGCAAATTGATATGAGAGGAATGTATCAATCAGTGGCTGGTGGTATGCAGCCACCTCCATTACAGCGTGCTCCCCCCCCAATGAGAAGCAAAAATCCAGGACCTTCCCAAGGGAAATCAATATGATTTTGCACTGAATGCTTAAAAGATTGTTAATCATAGATCTTTTATTTTTTTAGGAATCAATGACTTAACAGAACTCAACTGTATAAATAGTTTGGTCCCCTTCTACCAATCTTCAATATTAGTTAAAATTTTTTTTTCCACAGGGCATACCCATTTCTCCCTGACATTTGTCAGTGATGTTGCCTAGAATCTTCTTACACCCATTGAGTACAGAAGATATTTCAAATTGTTTTCAGTGAAAACAAGTTCTTCCATAATAGTAATAACTCCACAGGTTTCCTCTCTAAACTTTTATGCCTGCTTTAACAACCACAAAATTAATAAAAATAATACAGATTTGTATATTCTGTCTTTACAAATGAAAACACACAGCTGAGTTCTTAGAGTTGATTCCTCAAGTTATGAAATACTTTTATACTTAATCCATTTCTTGATTAAAGTGATTGATTCTCTTCTTAATGTTCTTTTGACTGAAGTCTGAAACTGGGCTCCTGCTCTGTCATCTCTGTAATTGAACAGTTAGAAACTAAAAGTTATCTTTGACACAGAATTGTGTGCAATATTCTCAAATACTACTGCTACAGACCTTGGAGGAGTCTTGCATTTATCTTAGCATTGTATAAACAGCCTTAAGTACAGCCTGAGAAGAGAATTCTTTTTTTCTTTTCTAGTCTTTCTGCCATTTTTAATTTTCAGTTGTATGTGCTGAGATATTTATTAGTAAAATTTCAGTGTTGTGAATTATTTTCCACACATCAATTTTCTCTCTCCTGGCACTAATATAAAGTATATCTCCTAACTGCTTGGTGCCGGTGCTAGTGCTTCATCCTGTTGCTGGCAGTGGGATGTGGACTAAGAAGGTCATATCTAGCATTTTAGGAGGTTAATGCTTAAGTTGTGGTTGTTAGGTTCACACTCTGTTTTAAAAACAACATCAATTGGCAGAACTATGGCTGACTTTAAGTTTACACGCAGAATGTACTTTAACAATTCTCAGTGCTGTCAGTATTGTGAAATAATTCCTTTGTAAGATAAGGATCATTGGCTTCTTTGCTCTTCTCCTTTTCTCTCATCATCACATTCTTTCCCTCCAATTCCCTTACATTTTTCAATAAACAGTGTTTCAAAGTTCACTATTTTTTTGTGTTTTGTTTTTAGTGTAGATCTGGGAGGCATTTTTCTGATTGATTTACCTTCATTTAATACCCTTTACAAAGTTTTCCTTGAAAATAATTTTATTTTCCTTTTTTCTTAATCTGGATCTATATAAATTATCTATAAATTTATTCACATATAATTTGGCTGCTTCCATTTATTAAAAGATTGTTAGGCTGCAGGAGTCAACCCAACATGTTAAAACTATTTTTTGAGGTGGTGATATAAGGATTAGTAGAAACGCTAAGGAATTCCAGGGGAAGGGAGTGAAGCTGGGTAAAGGATTTGCTCTAGGTATCACTAGATTAGATTGAGTTTAACTTTAGTTAAAACTGTTTTTAGTTATTTGAATATTTTAATTTTCTCTTAAAGAATTAGTGGTAAATCATCCTAGTGGTTGGTTGGTTGTGTTTTGTTTTTAAAACACTAGGTTTGTGATAAAGAATTTGTGAACTTTGGTTGTGACAAATGGCTAACACTCCCCCCAATCCATCTCCTAATTCCCCAGTCCCTCCACTCTCCATCCTTTGGTGAGACATTATTAGCAGACATCGCACATTTGAATATTATACCAGCCATATAATCAGGCATATTTTACTGGGTTTAGGGGCATACAAATGTGAATTTACTTTTGAAGAAATGAAAAAGACAAGATTTATGAGATAAATATTTGTAAGCTATACACTCTGGCCATCTATTACTAGTTAATATTATCCACTAATACTCAGAATACTTTAAACCTTATTTACTAGACCTGGAAATTTTTAGCATGGTCTAATTATTTTCTCGAAGACATATATGTGTAGACAACCTTCTAAATTTTTTCACTATAAATGAAATTATAGCTTAGAGAAGAATACATAGAAGGATTAATAGGAAATGAGAGGGTTGAAATAAAACCTGGACCATTTTGCATATACTCTTCTCACTTTGACATTTTAGCTACATAATATATACTTTGAGTATAACATCAAGCTTTAACAAATATTTAAAAACAGAAAAATCACAATAATATACTAAAAGGCTCATTTTTATATTTGTTTTAGATGTTTTAAATAGTTGCAGTGGCTTAAAAAATAACAATTGAAAATATTGCTTGTAAAACAGTTTTGCCTGCTAAATTCTCCTTATTTTGTAACCTGTTTATTTCTGAGTGTAAAGTGTTTTTTGCTTAGTAATGTGGTATTGTATATGTTTTGTCCCAGTTGTATAGTAATATTTCAGTCCATTATCCAGCTTTGGCTGCTGAAATCATACAGCTGTTAAGACTTGCCTTTGTTTATGTTAGAGTGCTTTTCAATTCTGTATTGAGTATCAAGTACTGTAGAAAAGATGTCACTTCTTTTAAGGCTGTTTTGTAATATATATAAAGACTGGAATTGTGTTTTTAAAAAAATGCATTCAAGTATGAAAATATACTTACTATCTGTGTTTTCACCATTCACAGTGCTGTTTAGTAGTTGAATCTTAAACTATTTAATGTCATTTAATAAAGTGACCAAAATGTGTTGTGCTCTTTACTGAATTTTCTGCTTTGAAAGTCTTGTATATATTGTTTCAAAGAAAATGTACATAAAACTTGTGATATGTTATTTAGTGGCAGTCATTTTGCACATTTAGTTAATTGCCTATCAGGAGGCCAAGAAGGTTTTTCTTTTGTTTTATATACTGAATTATATAAACAGAGATCTCTAAATTCATAAAGTTTTTATTTACATACCGGGGGGAGGAGAGTGTATGTGTTGGGGGGGAGATAGATGAGTGAGTTTGGGTTGTCTGTATATCCAGCACTATTTTTACACTTCCCAGCAGCTGCATCACTCTTTTTTAAACTGAGGTTAGGCTACCAACCCACACTTGATACAAAAGCAGCCAGTACTGGAAGCTTATTACCTAACCCTCCACTTGATTTCAAAGAAGCTAATCTACTTTGTAGTTTTCTTTTATACGGCCACTATATAGTGGGATAGCACAAGAGAGGAAAATCCTGGATGAGATGGATTGACTCAGTGACTGGGGTAATAGGGGTAGGTATATCAGAGATAATGAAGTTGGCTCAAGATAGAGCAGGGTTCAGAGCTGTTATACATAGGGTCGCTATGAGTTACAAGTGACTTGACTTACATAACAGCACCCGACAGCAACGTGCCAAATAAAACCAGATACATATTTGCTCCAACTAAAACTTTAAGAAATATTCTATTAGTTCTCATTGTTGACAGTTTCAATCTTTTCTCCATCATGATGTTGCCAGTTGGCCCAGTGGTGAGAACTTCTGTTTTTTTGATGTTGAGATGTATTCCACATTGAAGGCTTTGATCTCCTTGAAATGTTTCAAGTCTTCCTCACTTTGAGCACGCAAGATTGTGCCATGTGCATGCAACTTGTTGATGAGTTTTCCTCTGATCCGGATGCTCCATTTTTCTTCATATAGTCCAGTTTTTCAAATTATTTTCTCGGTATCCAGGTTGAGTAAGTATGGAGAAAGGATACAACACTGACACCATTCATCATTTTTTTTTTACCATTCATCATTTTAAACCAAGTAGTGTTCCCTTGTTCTAGTCAACAGTTTCTTAGTCTGTGTATAGGTTTCACATGAGAGTAATTAACCCATGTTTTTCAATATTTTCCATAATTAGGTCCTTAAAATGATTGTTACTATGTTCTGTCAAGTCAGAGCTGACCCTCCAGTAGATTTTCAGAGACAATAAATCTGACAGGAGATCACTGCCCATTTTTTTTTTATCCGTGGAGCAGCTGGTGGATTTGTCCCACATGGCTTTGGATTGGCAGCACAAATTCTTCCCACTAAGCCACCAAAGCTCCCTGGAAGTGTGATTTACTGTCTCTGAAAACCCCCTGCAGGGTCAGCTATGGGTCAGTTCCAACTGGATGATACACACCATCAACTCCTAGTGACTATTATTTTCTCTAAATATGCTTGTTAAGAAGTTATAGGTACTTAGAATACAGTAGAGAATGTTACCCCCTTTTTTGTGATTTTAATGAAAGTTTACAGTAAAGTTGGATTTTCAGTCATTCATTGTTGCACAATTTCCTACCCCCTCATTCACTTTTTTAAAATTATTATTTTTTGTGCATGTACCGTCAAATCAGATCTGACTTGTACAGGAGGAAATTGTCCCTCCTCCTCTGGCAGAGCATCTGGTGGATTTGAACCATGTACCTCTGGGATTGCAGTACAGCTTCTTGCCACTAGGCCACCAGCGCTCCCCTTCATTCACTTTAAAAAAAAATATTCATTTCACTCACTGATGATTGTGTACAAGTTATCACCTACCATACTTCACCAAATTTCATTTCAAATTATGTGGCCAATCAAATTTACTCTTAAATAATGGGGGCGGAAGTTGCCAGTATTGTTTTTTCCCAAAGCTATATTCTGATCTCATCAAAAAGGTAAGAGAAGTTTCAAAAATGCTTTTGTCTATACATAATTTTATATAAGCTCTAGTAGTAAGGAGTTGTGCTGCCAACCCAAAGGCAGGCATTTTCAATCCACCTCCACAGTAAAAAGATGGGCATTCTCCTCCCATATATTTTATAGTCTCTGAAAACCCACTGGAGAGTCAACTATAAATCATTCTGACTCAATGGCACATAACTTTAGGAGGAGGGATCCCTGATGTTGTAGTCTCCTGCTGTAGTTTGAAGATAATTGCACTGTTAATCTGACGGTGTTTGATGCAAATTCACCAGCAGCTCCGCAAGAGAAAATATGGGCAATCTACAACCGGCTGAAAGGTCAACTAGGCTTCAATTCAACAACAATAAATTTACGCTTTGAGACTATGGAATTAACATTTTTGAGCCATTGGGTTGGAACTGATCCATAGCTCACTCTCTAGTGGATTTTCAGAAGCAGTATATCCCACAGGAGGAAATTACCTTTTCATCTCCCTTGGAGCAGCTGGTAGATTCAAAGGGCATGCCTTTGGGATTCCTGTGCAGCTTCTTGCCACTCATTCACCAGGGTTCATCACTGAACTATGCTTACCATTACCCTATCTCTGTTGGTCCCTGCTGGGTCTTTCTCATTTCCTTTGCTTACTCCCCCCACCCACCAGATTGTGCAGCCCTGTGATTTCATCCCTGCCCATCCTCACGCTTCTGCTCCTAACCCTCACCCCTTTGTATCCCCATACATGTTTTTCAGAATAAAAAAAAGAAATTGAAGACCTTAGTCTTTAAATTGACTGTTGTTCTTTATCAGAGGTCTTTGACAATAGATTTCCCCAAGGCAATATACCTCGACTGACTTTGCCATGGTTGTTGTTGATTATGGATGCAAGTC